CAGATCAGCCGGCAGAAGATGTGGTTAGACCAGCTTGGGCAACAAGACCAAGCATATTTTTTGGGAAAGTAACCTTCATCCTGATGTAACAGCAACAGCTTGTGAAACAAAGAGGGTGTGTTCTAAAGTGGGTGTGGCTCAAAATTAAACGGGAGGGGTTACGCAGGATTTGGTCCATGTTTCCACTTGCCAGGGTTCCATTTTGGCGCCGGTTTTTTGAGCCACGGCCTAGTGGAAACTCGGCCTCGAAACGGTCTCCGTTTCATCACCGATCAAATGTTCCCCTGACCGAACCGTGAAGCGTCGGGCGCAGCGCGCAGGCTGCCTTTGCTGTTCTCCGGACGGGGACTTGTCCCGGTTGCTCAAGGAGTTGCGCACTCAACAAGAGGAGCTGCCTGCCTTCACATGGAACACCTGGTTGACCTGGGGAGCAAACAAACATGTTGTTAGCTATTTCATGGTGTGTATTTTTTGAAAGGTACTCTAGTCAGGGTTGGTTTACAGGAAACCAACAGGAAGACTGCCCGTTTTGCCTTTGTTCAATTCGATCCGAGGCTAAAGCTGACTCACTTGCTGCTTGCGCCTGAGCTGCACTGGCTCCTGAGTAGTTGGTTATGTCTCAAGGCGCGGAACCTCCCTTTTTAGATCGTTAGAAGCATACACAAGGTTTGTTGCGAGATTAATTAGACTCACAATATGGCTGTGGGTCCAAATGGAACCACCATGGGACCACAGGTTTAATTCATGTGTCCATTTACCAGGGTTCCCATTTTGGGCACATATCTTGGACCCACCGCCATATGTGTTCCAGAGGATCGATGTACAATGATCCGCGGCGGCCTTCCCGTGACAGCTGCTCAATCCCCGCCCAGTCACTGGACCTGATGGCCTAAGGAGACGACAGGTGTGGCTGATCCCAACCCATTCATGAAGCTCTTTGAGAACGAGCTTCGGCAGAAATCAGCGCCACACAGGGGCTTGTAACTGGGATGCCCCTCTGATGGGCCAGACATATGTGATCATTTGTGGTAGGTAGCCAAAGATGCTCCCCCTGTTTGCACATGGCGACTTGGCAGGGTTGCACTTCTAGTGCCTCTTGACGTACCTGGCAACCATCGCCATGTTTCTGTTGACTCCGTGTTTGTCATGTTTCCCTTTGGTGTGCTGTCTATGGCTTACCTCTGCTTCTGAAGCAAATCGATTCTGCACGCCCTGCGGACTGTGCTTGCCGCTTTTTTGTTGTTTTGATCCCGCAGGCGAGCGTGGCGGAGCACTTTGCCCTGCAGGCAGTGGTGTGCGTGGCGGACGTGCTGCGTGCACGGAGTTTGCTCAGCGGACAGCCGCAGGAGCCGCCTGTTGCACGCGTTTGAGGCGATTGAGAGTTATCATATAATATATGATTTTCCAGACGCCCGGTGAGTTGCTTCAAGTGTTCCTGCTTGTTTGGGACGATGTCCCTAAAACGAATGGGGGCGGCCGGCCTTCTGATTCTTGGCGTTGCTCTGGGTGCAGGTGGTTGATAGTGACTCAGTTGATGCCTCATTACTTTGTTATGTAGTGTTCCGAACGTGACACCGAGTGCACCTGGGGCTGAAACGATCGTTGTGAGAATTATAGTGATTTGTCCTGATTGTTCCTTTGACGTATACTTCACCCTGGCAGCAGATCTGTTTGATGTGTCCAGGCAGACTTAGCCCCGTGATCAGAATTTGCACCTTTGTTGCAGCGGTTGTTCATTCCTTTGTGCTGAAAAAAACACGGCACTTCTGAGCCAACGGCGATGATTAGTTCATGTTTGGAGCACGTCGTCTGATTTGCGCAGGAGGCTGCTCAAAGCGTAGGACAGGACGGGGGCTGACTTGCGCTCTCTCCGCCCGGGTGAATCGCAGTGGATGACGCCAACCTAGGGTTCACTTAGCCCAAATGGTCACGTGCCCCTGTTTGGCCACACGAAGTGTTTGCGGGCCATGTAAATCGAGTTGTGTTGAAGGGACACCAAAATAAAACACTGATTGTGGATGTTTACTTATCAGACGCGAAGCTGGGTGGTTTCGCAAAGGTACCCTGAGAGTTTTTCAGATTTTTTGCTTTTAGAGGCGTTCATGCCAAAAATCCCCTACTAACTTTAAGTGCTGGTGTCCCGGGTTGGATGGCCACGAAGTTGGGAATTTCATATTTTGTGAAGGGCTAGCTGGTGGTAGCGGAGCCAAGGAGCTTGGGGTACCCTCCCACCAACTAACATGGAAGTGCAAAAAGGCCAACTAACCAAGAGAAAATCAGAAAAGTCGTCTTTCTTTTTCAAGGTCTGTGCACTTTTCCACGTTAGCTGGTGGGAGGGTATCTCAATTTGCAAAAAAAAAGGCGGCTGGGGCGGTGGCAGCTTCCAGCGAATTGAGCCTCGGCTTCGCGGGTCCGGCTTCGCTCAGGATCCCGGGGCCTGGCGCAGCTGAGGAGCGCGGATCTGGTGCTGCTGAACCACGACTCGTCGCTTCGCAATGGGTGCGGCCGGGGGGTGGGAGACATCCCCCGGTTCTATTGCCAGACTGCCCAACCTTCTCGACTTTTCGACGGTTTGCCTTCAGGCGTCGGATGCGGCTGGCCCATGTTTGTTTGTTTTTGTTCCCTCCTTTTGTCAATGCTACGGGTGCCGCATTTGCTCTCTTTTTTTCTTTTTTTTTGTGTTGTGTCCCTCTGTCCAAGTTAAATGCAGTCAGGGGATAAAACACCTACTTTGTTTTAATCCCCCGGACAAATGCCAGGTGTTAGAACTCCCCTCCAACCCGAGGGCTTTTGGCTTCTCCCGCAAAGACCCCAACATTAATTTGGGGACTTGTCCCCCTTTTTTGAAATATTAAGTCCTCTTTTCGACCTGTCGTCCAATGCTTAGTTTGTGGGGTGCAGAAAACGAACACAAATCACTGGAGTCTTCATGAGCCCTAAACATGAGGTCGTTGCCCCACAATCAGGGCTACATTATGCCACTTTTGAGGGTCGTGTAGTGTCCAGGGCCCCTCGTTTGCACTTTTCTCAAGTTTCCCCTTTTCTCGCCCGTGTTTTTGTTCTCCCCCGTTTTCGCAACCCTTTTGCACCCTGTTTGCTGCTGCTATTATCCACCTTTCTGGCCCATCTTCATATCTTTCCCCATTTTCTTGTTTGGCAACATGGGCAAGTCAGACAAGGATCCAGTTAGGAACGATTCGCCTGGCGATTCACCGCTCAGTTCGTGGGCAACTGAGGGGTATTGAGGGCCTTTTTTTGCGACGGGCTCGTCTTACCTCTTGGAGTTAGTCTCGACCCTGAACAGGTAGGGAACATTCCGGCCTTTGATTCTTAAACATGTTGAGCAGACTTGGGGATACTGCCCACACAACGCAAAGCCGAGGAACACGGAACCGCAAGGGGGAAGTGACGTGCAATGACCGGAATCAGCATATCGTCGAGTTGAAGTGTTGGGATATGACGTTAGGTCTATTGCGATTGTGCCTTGGATTCTTTACCAGTCATTGAGCGTGGGGTACTCATCTCAAGAGGCTCGTCGCAAGGTCGCAGGGCTGGCAGATGGGGGCTGTTTATAGACATGTTGGAGTGTGGGAACGTGTTAACCATACGGAAGTTCGCTTTTGGGTGGCTTGAACAGGTTGGCCTTCCAAGTTGTGGCTGGCTTTCTCGACCATCTCCAAGAGTGGGACATCGCGTCATCAGTCCAAGTCCTGGCTCCCAGAGCCGCGGTATCAAACAACCAGCAGCAGTGAAAAATGCTGGGAACCTTGAGCTCTGAAGAACTGTGGTGCAGCTAGTCCTGGCTCCTTGAATCTGAACCACCATTGTATGACTGGTTGAAACATGCAGCTGGTTTCCTACCAAACTGATTTGGACAACTCAAGATGGCCATGACTGTTAATAGAGAACCGCCTCAAAAGTGATTGGTGGACATGAATCCCCACCTAAACGATGTCCACCAAAGGGTCCCGTCTTAAAATTCATAGCCAGATGGCGTGTGTCCGGGTCAATGGGAGACCTCAGCCCTTTGAATCTTCGTGCAATGCCATTGAAAAGCGCAGCAAGGCCAGACGCCGGAGAACAGGCGGGTGCGTGGGCAGGGCAAGGATTCGGCCAGGAGTGGAAAGCCGAACGGCCCTGCCTTCTGTTTTTTTGTTAGTTTGTGTTTGTTGTGTGGTGTTTGCTTACGAACTTGATTGCTTGTTTATGTTTGCTTGTTTTTGTAGTTGTGCTTATATTGTTTTGCACCAGACAACACCCCCGTTTCGGGCACCTTTTTCCATGCTTATCCAGTTCTGTCATGTTCTGTCAAAATGACCCATCAAAGGGGGGCCGTGTTGTTCATGAAGCACTGAGAGACTATAGGATTGAGCAAGGCTTGACACTTTGCCAGTGCAGATCTGGGTGCCATTTGAAGGTAGCAATTTGCAAAGTCCAAAGGGCTTTTTCCGCAGGGCGAGCCAGAGAGCGAAGTACCTGTTTCCGGAGTCTTCCCGCAACTGCAAATCGCCTTCAATTTTGGGCAGTGTCTATCAATTTATAAACGGGGTGTATTACAAGTGGAGTCTTCTCCGGAAACTATTTCATATTCCAGGGTAGAATTCAATTGAAATCGAATCTAAAAGTATGATTTTCTTTACCCCAGATGCGGGCCAAGGCCAGCATCAGGGCTACTCCAGGCTGCGGCACTTGGTTGTTTGGTCTTGAACCTTTTTGCTTCCTATGCCTTCCTTTGTCCTTCCTTTTCCTTCCTTGGTCCTCCTTTTTCCTTTCTGTCCTTGAGTGCTTCTTTTTGGGAATTCGGCCTACTGAGATGATATAGAGAATTCCATGGATGGCAACACCTGCCAACTTCCAAGGGAAACCTTTTGCTGGAACCAGATGAGCAGATGCAGCAGAAGATCATTGGTCGCGGCCCTTGTCTCTCGTCTCGTCGCCATAGCCTTTCTGGTGGACGTTGCGCGGTGTTTTGATGCGTTAGCACCTCGCTGAGGTTGCAAATGGATGTTCAGGGTACCCTTATTGCACCGGTTCAAAGGAGAAGCAAACAACTACCTACATGGATGAGCTGTTGATTTTGACCACACCACTTGGCTCTTCCGATCCTTCGTTTCGCAAGAAACCCGCCCAAAGCCTCCGCAGGTTCAGCGCACCCGAGAGATGCTCCTGGAACTGGCCTCGGAGCCGGGCTTTGCGCCAGCGCTGCTTGGGCCCTGCAGCTTCTGCGACCTCCCTGGAGCGCTCCTGGGCGGAAAGGCGGGGGTTGGCCTGGTTTCGGAATGGGTGAGGCCCGGAGAGCCTTGCTCGGCAAAAGCCCGCAGCCAGCGCCATGTGTCTCAGTCCCTGAGGTAACACGCGCAGCCTTGCGCAGGCTCTCTGGCCCCAAGTAGCTAGTGCCCTTTTACCCTGTTTTTTGGGGGGAGGGATCCCTTTGCTAAAATAGACTACAGAAAAAGGTTGGTACCCATATTCTAAGCTGTCTACTGGAGGACCTAGGTAGACCTCTTGGCTTGATGAATGGTGGGTGTTCCCTGAGTCCATGAATCAAACATGGCTGCGGGATTCTCAGTTGCTAGTGGTTGCTGCGCGAAGCAGCGGTATTTCTGCACAGGATGATTCCCGTGTTTGGGGGGCTGATGATTCTGGTGGCTTGGGACCATGCATGTATATGCAGTATACATATAAGTATCTTGTATAAACTGGGAAGGGGAGTACACATAGAGATACTTAATATGTGTGTATTCACATAAATGTGTACATGTACATTGCAAGCAATAAATCAATAATGTATATATATATATGTATATATATATATATATATTGGGGCCGCACATCCCAGGCACACATGTTGCTATGCCCCATGCGTCGTTCTTTCAAAGGGGCAGGTTGGGCGTTCAGTGCAGGATTGGTGACAGCGATAAAATACACGCACCACTTGAAGTAGTGTTTTTTTTTTTTTGTGTCATCCAGTCGTGCATTTTGTTTTCTTCTTCTTCTTTTTACGTGTTGGGCGGGCGTTTTTCTTTTGACGAGGCTTTATACGCAGCAAGCTTCATGTCCTGATCGCTCACGTCACGACTGAGGACCGTCATGTCGTGCCTTTCGCAACTGCCCAGCCGGCGCCCTTCCGGAGCGAGCACTTGTTCGGCCATGCCCCCTGTGCCACCGACACTGAGGCCGGTCAACCCCGGCAATCGGAATATGGCCATGGTGTCAAGAATGAAAATCCCTGGAAGTGAGGGTTTCATTGTTGTGTTCCTTTTGACAAACGTTCTTTTTCAGTAGGATGCAGAAAAACAAGCGACTAAAATAGCCACTGGATCATTGGCAGCGCCTGAACCAGGGTTGTCGAAGGGGCCAGAGGAGCGTGAGGCTTTGCTGCCCAAAGATGCACAGGTCCTCATACGTTCCCATTTTGTCACCTGAAACGTCACCATGTTTGTCCTCGCAAAGTGCATGTCCTTTTGGCGTGATGTTTCCGCACAGGACTTCTGTTGCTCACCCAACAGGGTGCGTCACAACATTGATTCTGGGACGCTGTGTTGTATGATCTCTTTTTGTTGGTGGCTGCCTGACCCACCAACAATGGTCACAAAGGGGTTCCTCCTTGTACCTGGACGTCTTTGATGCCCATACACCAAAGAGTACAATGGAGAGCACGAAGCAGGTTTGGGTTTCGAAACACGGACGGATTCCCTGGCTTGAGGAAAACCACCCAGAATCGCCCAGCTCCCCTCAGCCTTTTGCCTCGCACTTGTCGCCAACGCCACACTGTGAGTGGACAAAATCCTGCACCAAGTGTAAATTATGGGAAAGCATTGTTTGTTGGTATTTACAATGGAATGATCATCCCATGATTTCTTAGGTGGTCTTGATCATTGGAATTGTGGGATCATCATCCCATAATCCCAATAGCTTTAATAATTCTCCCAATAATCATCCCAATAATCATCATCACCCCACTACTACAATAGACCACAGAAAAAAAGGGGTACCCTTATTCTAACCTCCAAAACTGGAGGACTCGAGGACCTAGACTTCTTCGGTGGTGCGAAATGGATTTCGTCCAGCCACAGTAGGAAAAAGCGGCCGTCGTGAAGGCTCGAAGCATTCGCCAGGTTCTCCTTCGGCCCCACAGCCTCGGGCCACGATGCCGCCTGCAGCACCGCGTGCCTGGTGCACAAGGGGGGCCTCAAGTCCCTGGACGCCCCTCGCACCGCATGGGGTTGGGGACTTTTTGTTTTTGGGTGTGTGGTATTGAGCACCCCGTACTGGTTGGTGAAAAGAAAAAACAACAGGAACCCACCATTTTTTTGGGGGCCCCCTAGTCTGCACATACCAATTGGTTGAAACAAGCAACCCCTAATCCGCTTTAACGGGGGTAAAAGCAATACTAGTTTACGGAGGTGGGATTTCTGTATGTACGCACCTTTTCTGATGGCGCCTGTAAGACACTTGCCAAAAGAAATTAACTGCCTGCTAGGACGTACTAAACCCGCTTGCTGTTTTTACGGGGACCTACCTGGATAGTCCGGTGTTTTGTTTTTGGTTTTTTGGCCGAGGGGGGGGGGACCATGCATTTTGTCCCATTAGGTAAAGTCTGAAGTGAAGAACCCTTTGGACTTGAAAGCCGATGTTTGCCCAAAGATTTGGTGTCAACCTGTTGGCAAACCTCGTTGGTTACTCTATTTAGCTGAAAAATGTTTGATTATTGATATCGATGTTCCATAGCTGGTTTCCAGAACGGATCCTTGCCCCCAAAGGGTCTTTTCAATTTTTGGAATGTCAACTCTAATACCCCATGTTGGCTTCATCCCTGTTGTGACTGGACCTCTGTTCTGGATCACTAGATCACGGATGGACATGGGTTGCTCTGAACTCGTAGTTGCAGGTATTTAGTTTCCTTCAAAGTCAATTTGCCCGGCACAAGTTGCTTTATTCTTTGAGGAACCTCATTTAAAGGACCCCTTTTCGGGTCGCCAAGTCAAGTTGCAGGGATGTAATACAAGCGGCGAATAAAATAGAGAGGGGGTGTAGTACGGGTACTTTCCAACCAACTTACGTCATGATTGTTTGCTAACAACGCTAACAACCCCTATGTTGGTGGTTGGTCTAAGAATCCTATAGACTCGAATCGCCTTCGCCGCGTTAGGCCGCCTTAGCCATGCTGCAGATGCTTCTGGACAGCGGCGAGGCCCGGCTGCTTGCTTGCTTGCTTGCTTCTGCCTGCCTGCCTGCCTGCCTGCCTGCTTGCTTGCTTGCTTGCTTTCCAGAGGCAACTCACTTGATTTAACCTTGGGTTTCCAAACCAAACACCAACCTCAAGAAATGGGTTATATCTTTTGTCTTCCGAAACCATGGCTGTGGACGTCATTGTTTGGCCGCTTTGGGTTTCAGTTGAATCTCCAAACCAACCCCCAACAACCGGGTTGATATTGCTTTTGGATGTGGGGGATGGCTTCACCGCTTTGTGATCTAAGCCCAAGTCGGTTCGGAATTTATTGAGATCCATCGGTTGGTCCGCGGGAAATGCTCTCTTTTTGGGAGACACATGTGTGTGTGTGTGTGTGTGTGTGTGTGTGTGTGTGTTTTTGTGTGTGTGTGTGTGGTGTGTGTGTGTGTGTGCGTGTGTTTGTGTTTGTGTTTTTTCCGTGTTTTTGTGTTTTTGTGTTTGTGTTGTTTTTTTTTTTTTTGTGTGTGTGTGTGTGTGTTTTTGTGTGTGTGTGTGTTTTTGTGTGTGTGTGTGCGTGTGTTTGTGTTTGTGTTTTTTTCCGTGTTTTTGTGTTTTTGTGTTTGTGTTTGTGTGTGTGTGTGTGTGTGTGTGTGTGTGTGTGTGTGTGTGTGTGTGTGTGTGTGTGTGTGTGTGTGTGTGTGTGTGTGTGTGTGTGTGTGTGTGTGTGTGTGTGTGTGTGTGTGTGTGTGTGTGTGTGTGTGTGTGTGTGTGTGTGTGTGTGTGTGTGTGTGTGTGTGTGTGTGTGTGTGTGTGTGTGTGTGTGTGTGTGTGTGTGTGTGTGTTTGTGTGTGTGTGTGTGTGTGTGTGTGTGTGTGTGTGTGTGTGTGTGTGTGTGTGTGTGTGTGTGTGTGTGTGTGTGTGTGTGTGTGTGTGTGTGTGTGTGTGTGTGTGTGTGTGTGTGTGTGTGTGTGTGTGTGGTGTGTGTGTGTGGGTGGTGTGTGTGTGTGTGTGTGTGTGTGTGTGTGTGTGTGTGTGTGTGTGTGTGTGTGTGTGTGTGTGTGTGTGTGTGTGTGTGTGTGTGTGTGTGTGTTTGTGTGTGTGTGTGTGGGTGGGTGTGCGCGTGCGCGTGCGCGTGCGTGCGCGTGTGCGTGTGCGTGTGCGTGCGCGTGCGCGTGCGCTTGTGCGTCTCGCCTTCTGCCCAAAATGATTTATTACAAACCCATGGAGACTTCCGGATATCTGGACCTATGGTTAGGACTGGCCCTACCCGGGTTTTCATGGCTCAGGTGCCTGCCAGCATAACATACCTTCACATGGCAAACAGCGCCATGCAAACCAAGGCAAGGGGAATGCCACACACACACACACACACGCGCACCCACACCCACACCCACACGCACACGCAGACGTACACGCACACGCACACGCACACGCGTGTGCGCACGCGCACGCGCACGCGCACGCAGGCCAGAGGGCCAGAGGGCCCAGAGGGCCCAGAGGGCCAGAGGGCCAGAGGGCCAGAGGGCCAGAGGGGAAGGGACAGTTAGTTTTGCCCAGGGGACTCATCAAACTGTCAGGATCATTTTGCCGGAAGAAGGTGTGGGCTGTTCAAAGGTAATCCTTGCTTAATCCTAACCTCGGGTTCTGCTTGGGGTCGCCTTTGTAGTGGCTTCCCTGTAGAGATTGTGGATTAGGATCAGCCCAGCTTGCCAGGATCAAGACACAGATGTGTGTCGTTTGAGGGTACTTGATTTGGGTTGCGTTAAAGTCAATCCGAAGGGAAACCACACTGTGTTTTGGGAGAGTGTTCTTCATTTTTGAGACTCACTCGTATTATTCTTGTGTTTACCACCTCGAAGGGTAGCGCCAACAAGCCCTCGACGCAATGTTTGCATTTGGAGCCGCAAATCTGAATCTGAGATTTTTGTTGTATCCAAGGGGCACAGGTCCAGTCGTAGGGTCCAGAGATCAGATAGAGAAGTCGAACAGTGAAAACACGGCGGCGGGGTCCAGTGCTCCGGCACTGGATAAACCAGGCTCCCGCGACCCTCCCAATGACGCCCTCAGGCCGCAGAAACCCTATGTTTTCCCCGGGTTTGCGGGGTTTTAAAAGCAAAGCATTGGGCCAATGCAAAGTGAGTTTCCTTTTGGTGGGGTGATGTTCAAAGAGGAAATGCAGAGAGCCCTGCAACCTTTCACGGTTTTGCCGAGGCATACCGCATCCAGGGTTACCTCGCCTTCCTGCCGGAACACTGCGAGAGGCGATGCGTCTGATAAACGATCAAGCAACTGGATTTGGTTTGCGACAGATTTCACCCAGGGTCTCTTCCCGGGGATCTTTTGTTTCAGATGATGAATGTTAACATCATGATCCAGTTAGATTCGCCCATTGAGAAAGCGCAAAGTACAAAGACCGTGGCCACCTGGATGCGGCGGTCTCGGGCCCGCCCCGAGACCGCCTGCTTCCATTGGGATTGCGGTCGCCATTGAACCAATGCCTATTTTAGGAAGCCATGACCATGGCCCAGACGAGGAGTCTTGTCTTCGTTTGGGCCATGTTATTGTGGTGGCCAAAAGGACATCAGCCGCGGCTATTTATTTGGCCTTTAGCCAGCCATGGCCGTCAGCGGGCTTAAAGGAACGACGACGTGCGAGAGTTCATTTGGCCAGTAATTCCACACAAACCACCAGAGTTGAACCAGATTCACATGTTTCTGTTGGCTGCTCTTGCTTATGGCCTCTATGTTTTCAGGCTCATGGCCGATGTCTTCGGACTGTTTTCCTTAATACTCGCCGCCGGACGCGTGCTAGGGGAGATGAGTTCCCCCCTCCGGTGGAGCGGCTCTGGGCGCTGCCCATGGTGGTGGTGGAAGGCGGGGAAGGAGGTTCTCTAAGATCCTACTTACTATTTGCCCTGAATGGCATACTCTACACATATACGAAACATATATATATATATGTATACATATATATATATATATATAATACATATACGTATTATGTATGTACATATGGTACGGAGTTGTGAATGGACATGGTATCACTCTGAGACAGACTCCTAGTTTTGCCGGTTGACTCATCGATGGAGTTCACAGGTTTTGGTTCGGCTCTATTGATCTGCCGGAGCTAATATGTTTTTTCCAAAGGGACACCGAACTGGCGGCCACAAGATGCAAGCGGGGTTGAGTGTGGCAAGCTCCAACATAGCTGTGCTGGCTTTCCAACTTGCCATTACTTCCAGTCTCGACTCTCGACCCTCCACAAGAATGTGGTTGGTGTAGCGTTGCTTAGAGCAACTAATTTGCAGCGGATCATTTGGAGACTCCGGCCGTGTGTCTCCCACCCCTTCCACCGGCCGTTTCCAGCCCGTTTCGCCTGGGCCCAGGCTTCTTCCGCGGGCGCCTGGAGATTTCCCCCGTGACGCGGGCGGCGGCGGACAGCGCCGTTGCGCCTGCGCAGCCGGTCCAGGCGGTGGTCAGGGGTGGGCCGCGTGGGGAATGACTGGGGAAGTCCGTGCGGCTCTAAAACACATTTGTGTGTGAGTCAAAAATAGGGTAACCACAAAATGGAACCCTGGTAAATGGAAACAAGGACTAAATCCTGCGGTCCCCTGACATGGCACCTGTACAAGAGTACCTGGATCAGTTATGGATGGACACACCCGTGTGGGGTGCCATGTTAGTGGGAGATGGGGTATCAAATGCGCATACTGCACAAATAACAGCGATGTCTTCGATCTAAATCTGGATGTTGAACGAATCGCCTGCTTTTGTACAACAGCAGGAACCACTTTTGAAACCCTGGTTGTGTCCTTGGAAAAGTGTCCAAAGGTATTTTTGAGGATTTTTGAACATTGACCACTTCCCAGCCTTCACTTGCCAAGGCGTATCCCTGGCTTCTCCTCAGATTGCTCCCCCCATAGCCCCCTTGCACCACTTCCCTGGCCAGGAGTCTGCCTTTGATGCCGCAGCGACAGATCGCGGAGGCTGTGACTTGGCAAAAGGCTCGGCTGGCCACAAGAACCATGGCTGCCATCGACGCGGTGGTCATTGATGACTCGCAGCACTGCCCTTTCCCAGCAAAGGTGCAGAAGTTTGGCGAGGCAGAGATCGCATCCATGAGCAATACTGACTGTTCAACTTTTGAGAGGGGAATCTGGGTGGAAAAGGTTGCCGTTCCTAACGGGAACTGGCTTGAGAACCAGCGTAGACGGGCTTTCAGGCAGCGGCAAGTAAGCAGTTGGAAAGGCGGGAAATACTTACCTCTTAAAAACACAACTTTTCAACTTTTTGGGGGCTATATGTCTGTAAAAGATTAACTTCCCCAGGGCTTGGAGTTTTAAGGGGTAAGAATACGTAGAAGACAAACGGAGTGGCTACGTACCAAATCCTTCGCTATTTTGGCATTGGAATTTCTCACTGCTGCTCAAAGGCCCGGCTGCAAAGCCTCAGATTGATTCCCTCTGCAGAGAGAGCCTGAGTGAGCCCTTGCGGAAAGAATCAGAAGTTACACCTGACGGTGAAATCAGAAGGTTCAGTGCAAAGGGTCACCGTCCCCTGTGTTACATTCCCCCAGAACGACTTGTAAGACATGGATTTTAGAACATTAACTTATCCCTGTTTGCCTAGCAAGAGGGCAGAAGTGGGCCATTCCACAATCCTGGTCCAAAAGCGAGGGGAGAGGGATAGTGGTCAACGGGTTGACATTCTTCTCGACAATGTCCTTGTGTTTCCGTTTTTCGCTGTTTGCAACATCACCTGTTAGGTTTTGTTTGGTGATGTTGAGAGGGAAATATTACATGTGCCCCCGTATTTTTGCAGCGAGCTCACCGGGTTGTAAGTTCCTTTACTTGGATCCAGTTTGTAATTTGTAACATTTGCAGCTATACGAAGCATGACCCGGATGTGTTTTTTTTCAGCGCAGCCTACGGACATCATGACCCGGGTGGAAATGGGTATGGGTCAAAATGAAACCAGGAATTGGACCGCAGGCATTAGTCTACTTTTCCATTTACCAGGGCAAACCATTTTGGGGTTACCCTATTTTTGACTCACACCCAAATGTGTTTTGGAGCCGGGACTTCCCCAGTCACTCGCTAAGCGGCCCAATTTCGAGGGCCCCTGCCTGGACGGGCCCCAGTCACCCGCTACTTATTTTGGAACCACAGCCAAATGCCTGTGGCTCCAAACCACCGGTACCCAAATGGAACCCTGGTAAGTGCAACTATGGACCAAAACCTGCGCGAGCCCTCCTGATTGATTTTGAGCCACGCCCATTTAGGCTCCCCATTTAGGCTCCCCGACTTAGTTTGAGCCACAGCCAAGTCCGAGGCAAAGTCTTCCTCTGCGGCCGGAACTTGGAGGAGCCGCAGCTGCGCGCCCAGCTGCGGCGCATCGCCGCGCCGGGGTTTGGTGGCCCAGCGCCCTGGCGGGTGGAGGAGTTCGGCCGAGCTTTTGGTGAGTGGGTAGTGGGTGGGTGGTGGGTGGTGGGATATGCTCCGTGGGTCAAAAATAGGGTAACCCCAAAATGGGTTGCCCTGGTAAATGGAAAGGTAGAAAAAGAAGCAGGGTTTGCTGTTTTTGTTTGTGGGATATGTCCTTTTGTAGCAGTTTGGGATGTTCCTATCCACGCAAAAACAGCTTTAGAACCCATGAACCAAAGCAACGGACATGAAACTACTTGATCTGTCTCGAGACGAAACGCTTAAAGGGTGCGGTGATGTATGGTGTGCCTATCCTTCGGAGCCTGACAGTACCAGCTACGTCGGCGCACTTGACATGTTTTGGAAAGTAGCTGGCCAGTCGGCTCACGTGCCATCCAGGTTGCTGTGAAACTCATATGCAACCTTTGGCTTCCTGAGTTGTTTCCCCCGAGCTCGGGGTTGAATGGGAGGCAGCCTCAGGGAAGGTGAGGTGTCGCCGGCGCAGCTCAGGTGTGCAATCTGGAAGAATGGCCTGAGGCCGCCCAGGCGACTCGAAGCGAACCGTTGGACTGTGACTACGCGTGCGTGTGGTATTTGGAGGGAAGCCTTTTTGGGATTGCTCTAAAGGGAACCGAATATGAACATGGCCATTTGTTGGGGTTCCCCATTTGGACACGAACCCATACAAACCCTGTTTCAACAGGGCCTTGTTTTTTTTCTTCTGATTGAAAGGATCAACAATTGGTTTTTCACTGCGACTCAGCAGGCTTTGCCCTCAAATGGCTTGCTGCCGGACAATGCCCCGCGTTTCAAGGAGTTGCAACAGACAATTTCATATTGGCGGACCCCACCAAGAATGGTTCCACAGCAACCACAATGGCTCCACAGTATGAGGGAAGACAGCACACATCATCGACACAGATTCCAAAGGTGCAGCATATTGGCTGACATGCTGCGGATGGACAAGAGCCTGCATCTAATGTGATGGATGGGGATCAACCACCTACTAACTGGTGCCCGATTTCGCCCATCCACAGTATCAGTACAGATCGAAGGGCCGCAATCCCCAACACGAGGAGTTCGGACCGCGATGCAGCTAGTTGTGCTGGGTGATCGCTACAGGGTGAGATTAGCTAAGTTGCCACCTTTGGCTTGGGGCACTGATGAACCATCATCCCCTGGTTCAATTGAGAAACTCAGTCTGAGCTATGATGAATGAAGCCTGCTCCAAAACTATTCTTGCGTTTGCTTAAGGTGCGAATTGCTTCCCTGTTGGTGTTCAAGGGTGTTTGTTACGACTGTTACAACTGTTACGACTGCTAAATCAGTGTGTGTGTGTGTGTTTCGTCTCGCAATGATGGTCAGTGTTCCACCGCCAGGGCAGATCGCAGTCAATAGACCTTCCCGCATTTTCACGAGCGCACGTGTTTTTTGGGCAAAGCAGGCTCGCCGAAGGAGAAAGGTCCTTAAGGGACCCCGGACGTTTTCGGTTTGGGAATAGCAGTTTTGTCCAAGGCCCAGGCATCAGGTTGCACGGTTTCTCTTCGATTTCGCCAATCTCCATGGCATTTCCCACAAGACTGACCTTGGAGGGTCCGAAGGTGAACAGTGGAAGCCAGCCTGGGTGAGAAGCATCAGGCCAGCCTGTGCAGAGGTATTAATTTAGACATTTTACGCCTCACACTGATTGCTTGCGCTGAAAGGAGAACTAGTTGGCCAAACCAGTGTGAATCGCCTGGCTAAACCCCTCGGCAGAATGTGTCGTTGTCTCAATCACAGAAGGCCGAGCACTGGTAAATCAGCACAGTTAATCTTCTGTCTTTGGGCTTGCCATCGCCCGGGCATAGATGCGTATGTGTCGAAAGCAAACCAGACTCCTTGCGATGCTTAGTGTCAGGTTGTTTCTCATGCCTTTTCCAAAAGGATTGTGCTTCCTTCAAGTGTCAGAATAGGGGAAACCCGCTTCCCCTCTCCGGTGGTTTTTTGTTTGTTTCCGTTTTAACCCACCTGAAAACGGTACCCTCAAAAACCGCCGCGAACCCAAGTCATAGGGCCCCATTTCTTGCTTGCGGGAATGAACCCAGGGGTCCCCTGAAAGGAACCCACCAATTGGATGGTCACTTCCATTTCTCATTCCCTGAGCACCAGCAAGTATTCTTCCATTTGCTTAAGAATATGTCATGATTTCCCTGGTTGGTTTTCAAGGGAATCGATCACTACCGGAAATACTTGTATTTTTTTCCATGGAGCTTAAGCCAATGGCAGTATTCGTTTTCCCTTCACGTCTCAGGCTCTAAACCTGCGCGATCAGAAGGTGAAGGCGGCCTTGGCCATCGAGCCTTTCGATGCATCCGTCGGCCAAGGCCGGCGGTTCAATGGGCCCCGCGGTTTGTGGTCCACTTTGTTTTTTTTTTCTCGAAAGTGGATGGGGGGCCCGTGCCGTGCGCCTTGTATTTTCTCTTTTGGGGATAGGGGGATCGTGGGGCACTTGGTGGTTTGCCTCGGGGTAGGGGGTCGGTTTGAATGAAGGTGCGAGCAAGCGTTCTGGATGTCGGAGATTGGTTTGTTCTGGTGGAAGTCTTTGTTTTGATGTACCAATGTGGTTTGCTTTCCCAAAATATGATGATATGTGCATTCTAGATCAGGCGTGTTGATTTTCGAGCAAATGCGTAATGATGCATAGCGGGAGTTGTCAACATAGGCACGCTCTATACCGAATTGGCAGGCTGCGTAGCATGAGACTGGGGTCCTAGAACACGCGCTTTGGTTTGACGCCGCCCCAAGTTGTTCATGTATTTCAGAGGCCTGTGGCTGATATTGCGCTTGGGGAAGATCGGCATTCGGAAAGGCCGGAGGTGCATTTTGTGCTGAAGCGCCCGCGGTGCGAAGAAGGAAGGCGCCGGCTCGAGCATGGTATGCTTGGGCCATTGGCTTAGACATTCCAACCCTGGCGCTTACATATGTGGAGATGGATGTTCAAGGTACTCCCAAACCACTGGCGATTTCCCTTGTTGGTTACCCTCCAACAATTGAGTTGCAGGCGCACAACGGAACATTCGCCATGTCGGAAGTGCCAAAAGATCCTCACTTTCTCACTTCCGGCAGAGGTAAATCCACATCTGGGTGTCTTAAAATAGGGGACCTCCCCAAAAAACGCCGTGTTTTCCCGGGTTTCCCGCAAAACCAGCTCCCCAAACTCGGGCTGCCCATTTTTGGGTTGGTGAGTTCTCGGGTCCCAGGTCGCGAAGCAGCGGAGGCCTTCGCCGCCAAGCTGGCGGGGGCTCTCAACCTCGGCGCCTCGGCCGCGTGGGGCGATGGGCTTTGGCTGGACGTTTGTCTGGCAAGGCTGGGGTTTCGGGGAATTCTCGGAGGACGTGCGATTTGCTGACTGGTAGAGCTTGCGCCTGAGTATGTCTGCAGTTCAAGACTTCGGTGATACTTGCTCGAGGAACTCCTTGTTGTGTGATATAGTCGAAACGACTGTGTGGCGATCTTCCACGCTATACTGTGTGCCTGGATGGATGTTCCAGACCGATCACCAAGTTGTCCGTTTGACTCATCTTGCTGGTTGCCCCTGAAATGAACTCAGGCACGTCATTGGATCAGGCGGTTTTTTGCGTGGCCGGAAAAAGTGTACTCCAATGTTGCGAGGGGAGGGCCAAGTTTCTTGCTATGTTTCCGTGTCGGCTTTGATGGCATAGCTGCAACTCGATCCACTGGGATCCGTGTGGCCACTATCTTTGGCCATGTGAGTGAAACCATGTCAAGGGGCAAGCTTGTTTGGCTCAGCCCAACTTCTGTCGGCCTGTTTCAGCACCAACTAAATGGGGGTTTCCCACAACTAGCTACCCTCTCTCCCACTAACATGGCACCACGGAAATGGTCCCTATCAGAGGAAACGGATCTTCCAGGTACTCTCCCACAGGTGCTATGTTAGTGGGAGGGAGGGTACCCATGGCGTTTTTGTGTGGGCTCGACTCAGATCTGCCGGCGCCCTTGGCGCCGTTGGCGCGGCGGAGCATGCTGGGCCGCCTGCGCCGTGGCAGCGTCACTGAAGCGGTGGAGGCAGGATTGGCATCGGGCAGGGGCCAGGGGCCACCCCCAGCAAAACCACCACCCTGAATTCAGCTTTTTCGGGGTTGCCCATTTGAGATAGACGATTTCTCAGATTTCGGAAACGAGCGCCAAAAAAGATGGAGATGCGACACATTGACACACTGTTCGAACAGCACGTGTGGTGCCTTGTTTTAAGAAGCACGTCTTGAAGAGTTGTAGAGGGTCAGCCATGGTACCGTTGGGACAACCTCGGGGCATGTTTTGTTTTGTGGATTGTGAAAGGAATCCCATGATGTTGGGTTGCACCTGGAAGGAACCTCGTTGCCTCACTAAGGTTTGTTGGAGCCCAGTATACGCTAGATTGTTCCAACACGAACCGTGCGTCTCTCGTGTTCCCGTATCTTCCTTGGGCGGGGCTGAGCAAAGATGTACTTGTCCAAAGCAACTTGACCGTATCTGATCTTCCAAGTTTCAACCGGATCGATTGATTGTGGCTGGGCAATGCTGCTGGGACATTTAGTATGGCGTATGCGATCTGCCAGACTGGGCCGGGCTGTGCATGGGACCGAAAAGGGCGACCCTCGAACACGAGGCTCACCCCTTTTGTTTGGGATAGACAATACGTGCACTTCTTGGTGTCGAAGAATATAGAAGCCCTCGGAAGCCCTCAAATCATGACTGCACGTCCTTGGCAATCCAGCAGGCTACCGCCAATGTTTGTCGCTTGGATGTTGGGGGAGTCTCGGTGCTTGCTAGGCTGAGTCTGGGTTCTTCCAACCGTTCGGGAGTCAAAAGTAGGCTTCGTATGTTACCTCCTCTCCAGGAGAGCAGGGAGCGGCTTGACTTCCTTGCTGACAAGATGCTAGCATGCTTCCTGCTGTGGTATGGTCTGAAACAAATCCCGGGGTGTCGCACTTTGAGGGCAAGGCTTGCACAATCATGACAGGAATATCATGTCGTAATCAATCTGCGTACGCCACAATACCTTCAAACTGTACGATAATGGTGGTGTCGGTAAGATGCAGATTCTGCATGACCCCTTCGCCCCAAAGTTCCTTGCACATCACCAGCTCGAGATATTGAATTTCATCTAGCTGAAGCCAGCCGCATCGCTTCCGGTGCAGGTTCACTGGGTGGACGGCAAAGTGACTGCCCCTTGGCCGCACGGCGGGAATCTTCGGAGGTTCCGAGTGCATGTCGGGACCATGTTTTTCACAGGCTGACCCGGGTGGAAGGGATTCCAAGGGTCCGACGCCTTCGAAGCCTTTCTCACTTGCCAGGTCAACTACCAAGTTTCTTACCATGTTTTACCAAGTTTCGGGAGGCCGCCCCCCACACATTCCAAGCCAGGTATCGGCCCCCAGCCTCGAGACGCAGGCGCGATCTTGGAAGTCTCAACGAGTTCTTTTTGGAGTTTGCCCATAAAACCATGGGCCAAGTGGTGGCCACGGTTTCCTTTGGGTTTTTCCTTGTGAACTATTTATCAAGGAGGCGGCCTAATTTAGGCACTATATGTCAGTGTTCCTTTGTTTGAGGATACCTGTTTGTGGGCCCCGTCTGTGCTAAAGCCCATTTCAGATTTTTCTGACATTTCCAGACCGACCCACTTCTACTGTATCAAACCTGACTGCTGAACAAAGCAATTTATGAATGCCAACGTCATGTGTTATTGGCCAAGTAGAACGACTTGAGTTTTGTTTTCGATCAATTTGAGTGCCCTGTCAGGATCCATTTGGCAACTGGAGGCAACTGGAAGCTGAGGCAAACCGGATACGGTGATCACTTTGTTTGTTTTTGACGTTTAGAAGGGCGGTTCCTTAGTTTGCATTTATCAGATGCATCATTATTGTTCCATCGAGTGAAATTCTTTCACCAGGGACATCAAGAGCCTGGGGCCCCCTCAAACTGTCAAAGAGAGAGGTGGTTTTCATGCTTCCACCAATGCCTGGCTTAACGCACCGCACATTTGTGGTTGGGATGGTAAATGACCCTTTGTAAGCCGTTTAAACAAAACCTTCACAGCCAGACCTTGATGGGCCAGGCGCAATTTTCGCTTTCAGATTCGAACCCATGGGTTCGCACATTCGTTTTGCCGAACGGGTTCGGACCTTTAGGGCTGGAGCGAACCTCTCAAATCGATCGCTGCCCGGCTTTTTTTCGGGTGACACGTTGGCCCTGCCATTCTTGCTCAGCCACAATTTGTTTGGCCTAAACATATAATAGATTATAATATTTTCTGTCAAGAGGAAGTTTGGACTTTCTAATTCGGTGCATCGGCTCGTTTTGTCACGGGCTGTTTCTTTAGATATCTGAAGGAGCACTTCACACTGATAAGTCCTTCCCCCAATCAATCAGTGAGCTGTTCTTGGAACGCAGGCCCACTGAACAAAGGAGCTCCCCAATTGACAGGGTGCCATGCCGAAATCGACTCCCGACACCAAAGCGCTCGGCTTCTTGTGAGGCGACCGAGCAGTTGACTGCCACGATCCTCTTGGTGCTTGTTCTCTAAGATGGTTTCTGCCAACCACTGTTTTCAGGGGACAGCAGGGCAATCATTTCCGTTGATATAGTGGCTTACCCGTTCAACTCCAGGGGGGAGGGGTGTGGGGGTCGACATCTTGGACGGTTGTTCCGAGCGCAGGCCACAGGAGCTTTGCGCTTCGTGCCAAACCCCGGATATGAAGTGCTCGTGCTGGGAAGTGGCTCGGAAGTTAACCCGGAGGTCCATAATAATCAGGGTCGGTTCCCCTGCTACTTGGAATCAATTCATGTTGGGCAAATTTTGCGGATTCCTTCAGATAAATATCCGAAACATAATTCCAGCTGCAAAGTCATGTATGTAACCAGTCTGGAAGTGATGATAGTATACAATTGTTAGTCAACTGTGGATTGACCTGGATGACGGATGACCGCATGAATCAGAGGTCCTCGAAGATGTATCAACCTCGCAGTTGCCTCGAGTTTTGTCTTTGCAGAATTCCAGCCTGCCAAGACTCTTTTCCGCCCAGTGTGTCCCTCTTTTTGAGGGTTTTCCCTTCATCAGCCACCGGCCCATTGAGCCCAGAAAAGGTGCAACATTGAGGACAGTTGGGCCAGCCGTCGGATTTTTGCAGCACTCGGGCCCTCAATGATTGAGCCACTGTGTCCTGAGGATTCGCGAGGTTTGAAGGTTGGAAGGTTTGAAGGTTACTGTCTCAGCGGAGGACCCCAACAGCGAAAGTTCCTCAAGTCGGTTCTTCAGACTAGGGTCGCGTTGGGGTGGTTTGTCTGCGCTTAACATGTCCAGTCGGTGTCATCCTGCTTGAAGCCGGTCATGCTTCATTGCCATGCTGCCGCCTTGTCATGTGACACCAGACAAAGAGGCAAACTGTCCCATGTCTACTTGATGTTTCTGATGTCATGGCTTTGAAGTCTTACTTTCTTGGCGCGTCCTGAGCAGATACTTGCAACAGCATTCTGGGGTCCAAAGAAACGGAAGCACCTTTTTCAGACAGCGGTGCGAGAAAAACCACCAGGAAGCCACCAACTTGCTTGATTCCCTGATTCGGGACCACCCTGATGTGCACGCACGCTGCCAACTGCCAAGGCGAAGTTTACTGCCGGCAGCGTGCGTCGCCTGAGCAGCACACTGCTGCCTCAAGGTAAAAGAACGTGGCAGCGAGTCGTTCAACAGCCGAGCTAGG